AGATGGCATTTCTTTTAGTTGTTGACAAGTAGAAATTTCTACAACATTAATGCTTCTCCTTCAGTTAAAAATTGCTTTATAAAGCATTTCAGATTGGGGTTGGCTTTCTTAAGAATGTCATAGTATAAAATCGTGTGATAATTTTTGACAACTCTACAGCCATGAATGCCCTCTGGGAGCCTAACTACTTGCCTCCATAAGATATTTTAGGTCAGTGGTCTTTGCATCCCTTGCAACTTGGTGGTGAATCATGGACCATTGAGTAGTTCACATGCGAATTGCATTCAGCTAATTTTCTGACTGTCCAGTGATTTTAATCAATTAAAAGACTTGACAGTGAATTTTCTGTCATGGGAAGCTGCAATCTGCAAGAGTCTCAAAATAGAAGCTTGTCAGAAGAGTTTTGTTCAAAGTCTGTCTAAGAGTTTAATCCTTTCGGCAATCGATCATTAGTTCTTTAATATAATGGTGGCGAGGATGATCCAAATGGCAAATGATTTCTTCACTGATATATGGTCGTACTAGTTTAAAAATAGTGACAGAAGTGGAAGATCTGTAAAAAATAGTGTCTGATGTATCGTCAGTTTTTCTAGGGTTTTATCCAATACTCTTATTAAATGTTTGGTAATTTAGGGTGTATCTTTAGCCAAACTGGGTTTTGGAGCTCCAAAGAGAAAAGGACTTTCTATGAGCTTAGGCACTCTAGAATGCTTGACGCCCATGTTGGACATCAATATTTGTCAAACACTTCTTGATGCTCGTTTGTAGTTCACAACATTTAGAAGTATTGTACCATTAGCACTGTATTAAATATGTGTATAGCACTCAAATTGTTTTTTATATGGCTTCTAGACATGTTTGAATATCAACAAATATATATGTCATTTGGCTTTTGATTTATTTATTAGGGTTACATATTGAAAGTACTTTTTGTGTGCAATTGGTAGTTGTATGTATGGTTAATATGTCTTCTAGAAGTTGTATATATAATAATCATAGATTGTTTATGTCATACGAAGTATTAGATTATAAGGCTTCTAGAGCACTTAAATTGTTTATAAGGCTTCTAGCCATGTTGAATATCAACAAATATGTACGCCATTTGGATTTTGATTTATTTATTAGTGTTACATTTTGAAAGTATTTCTGTGAGCAATTGCTAGTTGTATGTATGATTTTTATGTCTTCTAGAAGTTGTACATATGATAATCATAGATTGTTTATGTTATACCAAGAATTAAATTACAATCACATATGAAAATGTACAGTGCATAGTCCGTGTTATGTTGTGCCCTAAACTTGTAAGATTTGCCATGTTGTGTCCATAGCATATCACGTCCATAACCATGCTACATCTGACATTATATTAAATTAATAAATATGCATTATAGTACTGATTTTTCTTTCCTTATTTCCTCTAATTACATAGTTATTGTAAATGGATTTTATATTTTGCAAATCTCTAAACTTTCAGAAGTTATGTAATTTTGTCAGGACTTTGTGTCTACATTGAAACACATCACAAATATCTTATCAAAATGTTGTCAGAATGATACTGCACATCATGCAGCCTAACAATTGTAAATCCATACTGTAGATTACTCTTTGAAGAAAAATCATAATACTTTAATATTTTTCATTTTTTTTGCTGATTTAGTGCCTAAGCTTGTAATTGTTTTGTTGTTTTTTCAATTTTTTTTTTGGCAAAACTATCTATGTTCAATAGAAGTCCATTCCTAGCTTATGCAAAATTGTAAGAACTGTAACTATTTAAAGAAACCCAGATTCAGAACATTTTTACTTTCTATGTTACTACACAAAGTGATGAACACTGTAATTTTTAGTACTTTTAAATGCTTTCACCTTCCATTCTTGTGTGCTGGTGGGTTGCCGCCATCAGTGATCCAAGAAACACACATTTGAGGCCATGAATATTTTTGCTAGATTATACTTGCTTATAATTACAGCACTTGATGTTTTAACTCAAGTTACTTGGTGAATAGAGTTTCACTTTTTAGATGATTTGTAATTAGCACTTGAACGGTTGTTATTTTATCAAAAGTTTCTATAATAAGAATTACCTAGTTGATTTCTCACCCAGAATGTGTGATATTGCGACTTTGCATATCTCTTAAATTGCGTTGGGTACCCCAAACTGAAAAAGGATGACCCTTTGCACAGGGCTCCCACCAATGCTCAGCTTGAGGAGGGTCAGACATCAAAATAGAGCTTAATAAGAACATAAATAGAAATAAAACGTTAGTCACTTAAGTTTTTTATAAATCTAGATTTTATTTCTCAAGTTGTTCATCTTTCATGATTTGTGTAAATTCTAGCAAGGATACTGCAGACAAAATATTGTAATATATTATATTTCATGTCTCATTGCCACTTGATATTATTGTACATAAAATCCAATTGGCCAAGATTGTTTTATTCTGCTGCCCCTGTCATTAATTTCTACATAAAAAGTAACATGTCATTTATGTGATAATTTTATCCACTTTGCAGATAATTAAAAGAGCAAATGAATCAGGGGAAGACCCTTTAAGTTTGAGTCGTCGGTTCTCTGAAGCATTTTTGCAAGATGTAGCTGAGCTTCGGTGTCTGCCTCCAACACATGAACCACGTGTTTCTGACCACATAGAGCAGATAAAGGATATGATAACTAAGGTACTTGATGTAGTACTGTAAATATATGCTCGACTCAATTTGAAATTAAGAGATAAGGTTGTCTTTTGTCTTGTAGTTGATAAATCTGTCTTGTAGTTGATCTTGTTATATTCTTTGTGAATGATAGTTTTTAGTTCTTTGTTGTTGGCGCCATTGGAGGATTCCACATTAAAGATGCTAGCATTTAAAATATTCCACATAAAAGACTTAGGTGCCCAATAACCTCTATTCTATAGGCTTTGTGGCACCCCTGGCATGTTTCGATGCACTGAAATATAGTCCACCTTTATTTAGGACTTAAAAAAAAAAAAAGGGTTATGGATCTTATAGTTTTTCTATTCATAAGCCGTGAGAGAAGGAATCTTATACTATCTGAAGGGGGTGAGGTCATAAAATTGCAGAAGCATGCAGATATACTTGTGGCCTACGTTTGAAGTGTGAGCTCATACCCATTCTTTAAAATATCAGAGCAAAATACTGAACAAATACAGGCGTTATATAATGTAATTATTTCATATTGTCTGAGAAGATGTCATGGTTAGACAAATGTAGTAATTTTTTGGCTACAATAATCATGTACAATACCTTGTTTTTGTTCTCTTCCTTATGTAATCTTAGATATTGAATTTAGACACTCTAGGACATCATCTGATAACTTCCTAATTTTAATCTAATAAAAAATTTGACAGTTATTTATTCTTTTTTTTTTATGGCAGATCATGAAGAATGGTTATGGCTATACCATGGAAGGAGATGTTTATTTTTCAATCGATAACTTCCATGATTATTGCCAATTGTCTGGACGGAAATTAGATGATAATCGTGCTGGTGGAGGTGGAAGAGTTTCTGTTGATTTAAGAAAGCAAAATCCAGCGGATTTTGCACTGTGGAAGGTGAGGTCATGCCTTATCTAACTAACTAACTTTCCTCTGTCTTTCTTGACATGGTCTTTGCTCATCCATGCTTCAACTATTGTCTAATTTTTAGGCTGCTAAGCCTGGTGAACCAAGCTGGGATAGTCCTTGGGGCCCTGGAAGGCCAGGTTGGCATATTGAATGCAGTGCTATGAGTGCCCAATATTTAGGTGATGCTTTTGATATTCATGGTGGAGGAAAAGATTTGATTTTTCCTCATCATGAAAATGAGCTTGCTCAGAGCCGAGCTGCATGCCCAGAGCACAAAGTAAGCTATTGGATGCACAATGGCTTTGTGAACAAGGACAATCAGAAAATGTCCAAGTCTGATGACAATTTCTTCACGATCAGAGATGTAATGGTCAATGATGTCCTGTTTATTTTATTTCTTTCTGTTCAACTTCTTTTTGTTGTACCTTAATTTTCTATAATCTTATAATTAGAACTTTTGCTATAGATTATTGCGAGGTATCATCCATTGGCTTTGAGGTTTTTCTTGATGCGTACACATTACCGTTCCGATGTCAATTATTCTGACAGGCAGCTTGAAACTGCATCTGATCGTGTCTTCTACATATATCAGGTGTTTACTTGTGACTTGTACATCTAAGATGGCTTTCTTTGTTATATATTATGATTATGCTTTCTATATGGTTTCTAATGGGCACTTCCACTAATCTCATGGACTTTTTTGAAATATGTAGACACTCTATGAGTGCCAACAGGCTCTTTCTCCATTTCGTCAAGAAAATATACAGGGTCAAGTCCCAGCTGATATCAAGGAATTAATTGACAAATTCCACTCAGATTTTTCAGCATCTATGTCGGATGATCTCCACACTGCTGCTGTGTTAGATGATCTTATGGAGCCATTGAAGGCGATAAATAGCAACTTAAAGAAGTTCAAGGTATTCAGAATATTTCTTTCCCCATCTGAATTCATAAATAATGAATTATTAGGGTGAACATTTTTGTTTATCATAAATGTTTTCTTGTTTCATAATTGTGTTCGAGTTAATCATACTGAGCTTTTTCTATGTAGTCTAATATGCATTGATATTGATTTTTATAGGGAAAGAAGCAGCAAAGACCACTTATTCTTACTCTTCTTGCATTGGAGAAGGAAGTTGCTGATGTTCTTGGCATTTTGGGTCTTCTCTCGGGTAGTTCTTGTGCTGAGGTAACCTCAGTCTTCTGAGCTTGTGATTTGTATAGTTATTTACAGATTCAAGAACATTCTTTGTTTGCCTTGATAGGTTTTGCAGCAACTGAAGGATAAAGCGTTATCGAGGGCAGGGTTAACCGAGGAGCAAGTCCTGCAGCTGATCGAAGACAGGAACTTGGCAAGGAAAAATAAGGAGTATGAGACATCAGACAAGATCAGAAAAGAGCTTTATGACAAGGGCATTGCTCTGATGGACGAACCAAAAGGGACTGTTTGGAGACCAAGCGAGCCTCCCGAGTAGATTACAAGAATCACTGATTCCAACACCGCCGATTGCCTGTCACATAATTTATCAGTGGTGGGATTTTGATAATGAAACTTGCATAATATCGTGACATGTAAAAGTAAAATATCACATAATTTATCAGTGGTGGGATTTTGATAAAGAAACTTGCATAATATCGTGACATGTAAAAGTAAAATATATTCGATAGATTGCTTGTATTAGTTAATTTCTAGAGTATCAGACAAGAGGACAAGATTTTCCTCATTTAGCTGTCATACTCCGTTTATGACCTTAACCAAGTTGATATTGAGCTTGAATTTAATCACGAGATTTGATGGGAGAAACCTTCCTCAATGTGTTGCTCTCCTTCATCATTTTTCTTGGCAACAAAATTGCAATCGACATCGACATTAATGTTTCTGATTATGTTTTGCCCGGTGCTCATAAGATATAATCACAAGTTTCTCCCTGCGTTGTTTGTGCATATTGAAGAGTCGACAGCCAAGTTGGCCCAAGCGATGCATCTCTTGGTATGCTCACCTGCCATCTCTTGTAGCTTTCATGCATGTAAACAAGTAAAATTTATTGATTATTTGGGTAATCATTCGAATTTAGTGGCTCAGAATCATACACTACAACGTAATATTGCACGAATGTCCATATATCATTTTCTCGTATAACTAATTTCATAGTCAATGTAAAAGAAAATATTTTCCTCTTTAGTTGAGCATTCAGAACTATGTAAATTACGTGTTGCCACATCATTGTCATGCTGATTGCTAGACTTTAATGGCATCATATCATCACCATGATTGGGATCTCATAGCCCACTAGGCTACATTGAACGATCTTAAAGAAAATGTTTGATCCTCCAAACTGATCATTCTGATACTGAGATAAGACAATGTTTTATCAGGATCTTAAAGAAATCAAAAGACGTCAGTTTTGAATGATCTTAAAGGTCGCAAACAGTGAACGCTTCAAAATGTTTGCTACCTTCAAAATGCTTCCTTTCAGTTCTATAAACTTCCTAGTCGTCATAGTGGTTGTCGCATACAGTAAACTTACAATGTATTGACCACTTAACTAATAAGATCGTACCACAGGATTAATAAGTGACACCAAAACTGTATACCTCAGTATGTTCTGCCTCGATTACCATGCTCTGAGCTCTAATCACCGTTGACTTCATTTACCGAAGCAGAAATCAAAGATGCAGACTGGATTTTTCCAGCATAATCCAACCTCATTAAGAGAACTCCCCTGAATATATTTATGACTACAGTCAGTCTAAAGAAATGAACACTAATGATTACTCTTCAGTCTAAGAAAAGAAATGAATATATTTATGCCTAAAATCATGTTTAATACAATGGATGAAGAAAATTGACTGCAATTTAAATAATCTACTCAAATATAACCTTCTAGAATAAGCATATAAAATTCATAATCTACAAGCTTTTATACAGGTGATTCTGAAATTCAGAATGAGAATCAAATTATTGCAGCTTTCAGGAACAAATTATTGGATTTATTCAAAACGCATTATCTCCACCTCTTGGTGGAGATAATGCCTCAATATTTCTTTGGATTTATCATTGTTCATTGCCTCAATATTTCCAAAAAATTAGATATGCTTTGATCAACCTTATTCCTAAAGTTGAGGGGCATAATTGAGCTCCCACAATTTTGTGCCACCAAATATCCTTCATGAGGACATTGACCCCACCAACGGATCATGGCCCCACCAAATATCCTTTTTCTCAAATTCACAGAGGGCATTGACCTTTAGTACTAAGGTGGGAAGCCACATGGACTCAAAACTCTGCTACACATTTCTTGAAGTTTGATCTGGTCTATCTATCAATTATTTTCCTAAGAGAACACCATTTCACAGATCTGGTCTATCTATCATTTCCATCACATTTTCTTTCCATCTTAACTTCTGCAGGAACTAGACAGGTTGAGTATAACTTTCTTGTGTAATGGGAATAAAGTAACTAATGGCGGATGGTTTATAGTGAACTGAAAAATCATCGTAGAAGGGTCAACCAGGCCTTGTGATTCCAGAGTTGAGAAAAACCATGTACTCTTAAGTGGTGGTGAAGAAAAGCATTATTCAAAAACTCACTCTGGAGACTAGTAGTTTACAAGTACTTAGCAAAAAGACCTTTAGGTTAACATTTTTCCAATTCTAGAATCCCCCATATACAGAATAATACTTTCCTGTGAGTGTGCTTCCACTACACTAGATTCTGATATGACTCTTGCCTACACTTTTAGCCTCCTGAATCTCTGTATCCAATTTTATCTATATACCTAATGGTCCCTATTTTATAGGGAAGATAGGACTTTTACCCTCCTGAATCTATGTATTTTATGTTATCTATACACCCAAGACTAAGATGGCCTGTGTTCTATAGGGAAGAGATTCTATCAGTTCCCAAACTTTAACGGAATCTGAAAATTTTCAGGAGACCATTTGACAGAGTGGATGACTCCAGGATGCCCCTTATCAAATTTGTAAGGAATTTAATGCTTAGCAGATCTTTAATCACAAATCAAGTCCAAAAGTGATATGGGTGCACACTGAGGATTAAAATTTCAACCATACCAATTGGTATATACTGGTATTTATCAGTCAACGGCTGACCGGTATGTATATCAGACAGTTTCATCTGGTCTGACCCAACACAAAGCACACCACCCGATAAGCTCACTATAGTAGGATTATTGGATGGTGTGATTTGACCAGTATAACTAGTGTCAACTTATCCTGCAATACCGGTATGAGGCCTTTATTTTCATGTTTCTATAAAAATTTTGACAGCCATTACAGCTGTTTTTTTATTTCCTTCTCTCTCTCTCCTCTGTACAACCACCAACACCAACCCCTCTGTACAATCACCTTATGGGGGGCATCGAAACACAGATGGGGGGCCTGGTTATATGTATGAGGGGTGGTGTAAGGCTTTGATGAAAGTGCTAGGTGACCATTGGATTTGGACCTTCCGAAGCCCCAATGTGTACGACCATTCAACCCATTAGCAAAATATCGAGTTGCTTTGTATTGCTTGCGATCCCAATTTATTTGCCTTTTTTTTTTTTGTGAAGATGGCATATTACTAGGGTACTCGCCTTTGCAACATTTTCTTCTATCCACAGTGTAACTGCACAGGGTACCTAGGCTGCCCGCTAACCCTTACAAGCGTCATTTGGGCGTTGCACACCTAAGACAACCAAGTGACTTCACAGTATGCCAACCATAACAATTCCATACTAGTCCACTGAAAACCAGTATGGGTCAGGAAATTTTGGCATACATGAGATGATATCTAAAATTATCGAGCAACAAAAATATTTTGTATGAGACATCAGCTCATGATTTCTCATCCTCAACACAAGAATGCAAATGCTTGCATTCTGTGGTTACAATTTCCAAATATTACTGTATTGATCGAAAGGAGGTATGAAAGGGGATACCTGCCACTGCGTGACTGGATGGATATGTCACAAACTTTGATTCTGTTTACTGTCCCACTTTGGCTAACTAGAACTACTTGCTCATCACTTTCACCACCTTCTGCACATCCAAAGTTATATATTTTCAGAAACAGCCCAGATAATTTTTATGTTTATAATTAATACAAACAAAAGAAATGAACTAGTCTAGCTTAACATACCTGACAAAGAAAATCCAACCACAAATACAGCCGCAAGACGATAATCTGGTAGAAGCTGCAAAAGTATAATGCACATGCAATTTCATAAACATGTAAATTACATATACCGCCTGCTGTATTTATATAAAAGCATGTAAATTCTGTATAATGCCTGCTGAATATATATAAGAGCAATAGATGCATAATCCTTAAGCTGAATATTCCAGTAGCTTCTAAATGCAAAAAAGTATTAGGGGGCGAAAGCTAAGAAAGACGAAAGCATTGGCCGTAGAATAGAGAACCACACTAGAAATTGGTATGTGAATCTACGCAAGATGGAAAGGAAAGCTGCCACTGATAGTTGATCACCTTGGTTTCACAGTGCAAAATATATGACTATGGCACTAAAATAATACAAATATCAACCTTATCAAGGATCTAAATCATCAGCCTGGACAGTATACCCATTCTAATGGGTCAGAGCAGACTGCCCGAACCGGGATAACTTGCGCACCGGTTCACCCCAGACTGGTACCCCGTTTCATACCAGTCTGGTTGAAATGGTGGTCCTTGCCGATAGGTACCAGAAAAACCTGAAAAAAAAAAGAAACTACAGTACCAGATCCACATATCGATAAATCATTAGTCACATATATACCATACCTGGCGGTATTAAAAACCTTGATATGGTCCGTTTATCAATAAACTATCAGACCCACAAATACCACCGGTACCATACCGTATACAGCATCGGACGGTACCATACCTTGATATAGTTACACAATATATTACCAGCTACATAGCCTGTGATGCTGGTAGTATCCATTCGATATGTCTATACACGGCAATTTGATTTTGGTATATTTCTCATCTTTATAACTAGTTGGTGAATTTAACCAGAGTCGACTGGTTTTGGCCAATTATAGATGATTTCAGTCTCATAAGAAAAAAAAGGAGTGAAAAAAAGGGGAATGAAGCTTAAAAGGAATTTTTAAAAAAGATAAAAACTTTGACTATGAGCAGAAAAGACATTGCAAAAAAGTGTGTTTGCTACTCACTGTAATCATTGTTATAATCATCTATAACCAATGTTATATGTTCATCCTCCATCATCATGTAAGAAAGGAAAGGATTTAGGGAGATAAAGTGGAGGATAGAGTCACCTCAGAGAAAAGAGATGCCAAAGGCTTCAATATTAATCCCAAATCCTACGGAGAAATATTCACAATACAGTTATTTTATTGGTTGTGTTATGTTACTCTTTACTTAATATGCAGTTCTAGCAAATATATAATAGTTATTACAATAAATTATTGTCCATTATTTGTCATTATTGACTTTTATATAATTTTAGATTTTATGTACCACTTTCATATATATGTATATATATTTTTAAAGTTGGATATATTATGAGATATAAAGCTGAAAGAATCTTTTAGCATATAACAGTTTTACTTGTCTCATTTTTTTTTGTTTTTTGCTAATTTGTCATTTTTATAGCTTTGTTTCTTAGAATATTTTCTTGACCAAAATGATCCATCCTGCTAACCTTGATCATATCATTTCTAGCCAATCTTAATTTCAATAGCAACCTAAATTGTGTTTCTACCTTGTGTTTTACCAAATGAAGAACACAAACTTTTCATGCAGCGACAACGATCAC